AGAGAGAAAGACCACACAGTGGCTGCCAGTAACAACTAGGGTAATAGCAAAAGAAAGGGTGACGCTTCCTAGAAGAGGAAGACCCTTCCCAGAAGTCTTTAGCATTCTTCTTGCTTCTCAGTGGCCAGAATTAGGTCACAAACCCCATTCCTGAATCATGCATTTAGCCTCAGACCATTCAGCCCCTCACCTCACACTGAAGGTGGGGTGGGCTTCCTCTGAAGCAAGGGGACTGTGTTGAGGAAGGGTGGCCCTTTGAACATACAGAGGTACTATTAGGAAGGGAGTAGGAGCTAAGGGCTAAATGTGGGGCTAGGGAGCAGCCATAGCATTCACTCTAAGTCATAATTATAATTTATAATGAAAGTCTATAGTTTTTAAAAAGTGCCTGTCTACATAGTAGTCCATGCAATCCTCACAGTGATGGCAAAGTGGTAGTTCTCATCCCAGGGGTAAATCAGAATCACCTAAATAGTGAGTCTACTTTATTTAGAAGGTCTGTTGTGAGATCTGGACATCTGTAGTTTTCAAAAGTTGCACAGGTGATTCCGATGCCCAGTCAACATTGCACACCAGTGGCATAGGCTAAGTACCACCATCCTATAGATGTGCGAGTAAGAATTCAGCATGGTCTCTACCCTGAAAATCGACTAAAGATTCTGACATATGTGCCAGAGGAGTTCACGGGAGGAAAAGCTGCCTCTAAGCCAGCAAGTTGGGGAAGGTTACTGGGAGAGAGTGGGACCTCCACAGGTAATTTAAGACTTGAACAGAGAACCCAAGGAAGCAATGTAGCCAGAAGAGCACAGCATGAGCCGGGGTGGAAAAAGATGGAGCACTTGTCAAATTCATGTGTCATGTTTGTCAGAGGACAGGCTGATCTCTGGTTTGTTGTCATATTAGTATGTGACAAAGGGAAGTTTTCTTATCTTGAACCAATGATTGAAGAAACTGAGGTTTGTTTCCAGAACTCAGTGAATCAGTGCTATCTGATATTCCTGATACTTTGCTCAAACTATTCACCAAGCTTCCTCTTTGAGCACAAAGGGGATTTTAAGAGGCAATGATTGGGGCTTTCACATATTTGTGTTTTAAAAAATCAGAATCATTGGGTGGAAAAACCCTGTGAGATCACCTCTCTGCTCTACCCAACCTGTGGTTAGAGAGATACACAATGATCGTCTTAGAAAAGGAGGCATTTCAATTCCCCCCTCAGAGCAAACTAAGATAAGCCTGATACAATCCAGCCAGGCTGCAAAGGAGGGAGGTTAGAAACTATCTGAAGAATATGCAGAAAGTTTGTAAATTGACTGGCAATTGGATTACATTTAAAGATTCAGTTAGTGACAGATTTCCTTTAGTGAGTTTGTTAATTCCCCGGCAAGAGGCTTGGTGGTTTGCTGATAGCACAGCAGGTGAGTCATGCAGCCCTGGCTCACTCAGCCAGGCTGGGACAAATGTCACCCACTCGCATTGATGAATGCACCTCACGCATAGAAATATGTGGATATTGATTTTTTAGAAAATGCTATCATTACTCACTGTTCTTAACAACTTATTTTCCTTCTTCAGTATACCTTTGTTGTTGCTACTTCTGCTGCATCTAAATTGTGTTTTAGTGAACTCCAAAGGGATCTCACTCCTGATGAAGGAATTTCTCAGAGATAGAAAGAGGGTTGGCAACAGACTTGCCATATGTAGCTTAAGCTGGATGCTCTCAAGGAATATCGCCTCTCCCAGGTTTCTAGAGCCCTTCCTATGTTATTTATTGAGTGTCTTCAGGGTGAGAACTCTGGGTAGGTCAAGAGATATCTACATCAAGTATTAATGTGGTAATTAGCTTCCGCAATGAAAAAACTCAAACTGTGTGCCTACTTTTCAAGCAGGGGGCTATACTATAAACTTTGTAAGAGAATGGTTATTGTCTGGGAGCTCCTAGAAAGAAAATACCAGGACACAGAGGAGAGGACTGGCATAAGCCAGTGAAGGCAGAGGTAAGAGCTGGCTCACCTGGTTCCCAGATCTGTACCCAACAAGCTTTGGAAGATGGACGATGGAGCAGAAGCAAGAGCAGGAATGTGCAAGAGTGCAGCTCATGTCGGGGTGACGCAGTAGCAGAGGCCTCCCTACGAAGTTAAAGATGACTCACACCCGCTGAGCTGGGAGAGCCAAACCTTTCTGCAGGTTCCATTTTTCCTAGTTTGTGCTAGTCTCTAAGTTCAGAGAGAATCATTGCTCTAGTGTCAATCCCATAGTGTTCTCTTCTTGGTGGATCTGAAATCAATAATGCTGATGAGCTGAAAATGATAGCGAACAAAAGATAACATTTTGGAGAAATTTGGGCCTTGTTTTGGCAAATGAGTCACTTAAACCTATTCAAGATACACCCATAAGGGGGCCTGTGAAAACTAGGTTAGAAACAGAGACCAAAGGAATATGAATGATGAGCATGAGTACTATTCCACAAAAAGTGATATAAAAAGCAAATAAGGGCAGTCTATCGCCTGTAACTAGGGAGAATGCAAAAACAATTTCACTGAGAAGGACCACTCTCCTAGTTTAAGTCAGCTGGTCTACCCATGTGCTAGTGACCATACAAAGAGATGATCACCTAAAAAGGTGAAACACTTAGCCCGAATTATCCTTTTGGTAGGAAAAAAAGCCAAGTATGTCTCAGTACCCTCAGATCTCCATACCTAAGCATATGTACAAAGTTTCTCTCCTTTGGCTGATAAGAACTAGGGACTAAAATAATGATACTGGCAGCTGAAAGAAGAAGGAGCAAGGTAACAACTTAGGAGGCTTCCAAGCTCTAAATGATAAGGGGTGAACTAAGCAGCTCTGAGGGGGGAAAGAGATTTGGTATAATAGATAGAGTTGATACCCCATTGAGTTAAAGAAGAAAGAAAAGGACAAGTCCAGTGGGACTCCAGGCTTCCCCCAGGAGAATGTGGCAGGTGGCATGTTTCCCATCTGTTCATTCATTATGAATATATCTTTATGTTCTTGAACAGAGTTATAATAGCTAATTTAAAATAATTGTCTCCTAATTCTGACTTCTGCATCATCTTAGGATCAGTCTCCATTGATTGTCTTTTCTCTTGAATATGATTCCGTTTTTGTTTCTTTGATTGTCTAGTAATTTTGGATTGTGCTTGTACATTGTGAACGATACATTACAGAGACTACCTGTTACGTTCCTCTAAAAAATACTTAAATTTTTTGTTTTACTAAAGAGTTAACTTAATTAGAAGAAGTTTTTCTCCTCCGTGGTGGGCAAGTTGAAACTTCTATTCAGTTCTTCATCATCAGCTAGGCTGACTGCAGTCTGCCCCCACATTAGTATTGTTCAGAGATCAGCCAGAGGTTTGGGAAAATTTAATGTGAAGAATTTGGAGGTTCTCTTCTTTCTAGGATACCTCCACCACCACCGTCTTCCACTTGCTGTGATAGCTTCAAATTCTGTCTTCTAATTCCACAGATCAATTCACCAAAACTGTGGGTTTCTATCCACATTCTAACTGCTCCAGCATGGAGCTGACTGGAACTTGCCCTTGGGCAGAAAGTCATTTTAAAAAAACAAACAAGAAACTCATCTTGTGCCATTCCCTCCTTCTAAGTGTCAACTCTTCTCTAGTTTCTAGTTTGGTCACTCTTTAATGCTTTTAGGTAATCCCCCTACCACCCCAAGTTTATAATTATTATGTATAGAAGGGTTAA